GGTTCAACCCTTAACCTCAACCCTAAACCTGTGGTGCATGAACAGATAATAACCTACTAAACGGTGCAAATGTAGAGTGCGCACTGTATGAATTTACCAACACATAAAATCGTTACGAATTGGCATGAGTTTGTTGGACAAACTGTGAAACCTGAGCTTCACAAACGTCAAGTATAAGATAACAGGCCAATCATATTTTCACAGCTGAATTGTGATGGCTGCCTTAGTGAGCATATCATGACATTCAGCAGGAGACAAATGAGCATGACATGAGTAATGTTAAACACTGCAAAACAAAGAGAAAATGTGCGTATAATCACCTGAGAACCAAAAGAGTCTATCTGCTGTGTGTGACTGTGAGTATTGAGACGCTGAAGGCTGAGCTCATAAGTGACTGGTAGTTTTTCTATGCCCCAGTTTCCTCCTGAGGGGCTTTTAACTGTCATCTTGCTTCATGACCTCGGGAGCAGAAACCTGCAGAGACTGACGTTACAATAAAGAGACAACAGTAACCCAACTACCTGCAATACGGCTTTTGTGTCTTTTTTTCCCCCTCTCACTCCTTCGCTTCGCTTCCTACCTGTTTCTTTCACCAATTATTCTCCACTGGCCTTGACTTTCTCACTCTTGCTCATCCCAATCTCCTTTCTCTTTCACTTCTCATCAACTATCCATCTTCCTTCCTGTCGTATCCTCCTGCTTTTATGTGTCTGCATGTAATGCTATGAATGAAACTTCTGAGAACTTTTATCTTTGTGATTTGTTATCACATAAAGCAGGTCATGAAGCTTCACATGACACGTGGATATGTGACAGTAAGATGTGTTTTTTTTTTCTTCTCTCTTTGTCAGCAAAGTGTACTATTTTGCTGCCAAACTCAATGCTCTTGTCAATTGATTCCTCACCCACCCCTTGACCCCCATTGCAAGAGAACATTTGTGTGGGACAGTTGTTTTTAGTGAAGCTACTTGCACTGTTCACTTTCCTATATGCATATATATATATACACAAATTTGGCTGGCAGTGTGGGCTTGCCATAACCATGTTCTTTCATTCCAGCCTGTTCTCAATATGGCCTTGGCGTTCCAGAATGGCACTGTTTTCGGTGAGAGATCGGCACAGTCGTACATACTGTCACAAAGCAGACATACTTTTTCCTTTTGAACACGCTACAGGCATTCCTAAAGCAAAGTGCTCTATGCAAAATAAATAATTCACAAAACAACCCAAAAGTCAGAGTATGGAGCAAGTGTCTGGTGCAACAGCACTATTTATGACCGCAGGGGTTATAGGGAGTCTTGGGAAAACAGAAAGTCACTCACAAATAGACACTACATGACTAAAACTATGTTTTGACCTCCTACATATCCCTTCCACATCCAGTATCATCACAGAGCATTGTTTTTCTTCACGTTGGGTAAACCAGGGTAACCAGCGACCTTTTGTGTCATAGGTATTTACTCCTATTTCATCTAAAACAGGCAGTGGAATGCTTTAATCATAAACAACTGGATGAGTTTTCTTCCCAGAGTTCATTCTCTCCAACTCCTTTATTCATCCCTTCTTCCCTCTGCAGATCCAAAGTTCATTCTTATGTCCCAAAAAAATGGCAGCAAGGTGTGTGCCTTCATCTTAGCTCGTTCTCTCCACCCCTCCTAAAGATATATCAGGGGACTGTGGTTTGAGGCTTGACAAGTAAAAGAACATTTCCTGAAAAACATTTTAGAACTTAGAAGGTCAAATTGTAAATTAAATATAATGCATCAACCAATTCCCTTTCAAGATCATTGGTCACACTACAATAAGATTCAACTGGTTAACAGTTAATGCAATAGGTGTTGTGAGGTGTCATGAACAGTGAACAACAACAGCAACATTTTTTTCATTAAAATTATTAATTTATCTAGTTAATGCTAATATATAAATATATACCACTGTTCAAAAGTGGGGGGGGGGTTATATTATTATTCTATTTTAATATACTTTAAAATGTAATTTTATTCCTGTCGTGGCAAAGCAGGTTTTTTTTTTTTATTAATCAGGGCTGAAATGATCATTAGTTTTGCTGCTTTTGTGAAAAACCGTGATCCATTTTTTTGCAGGATTATTTGACAAACAGAAAGAAAACAGAAATATTTTGTTACATTATAAACGTCGGTTACTTTTGATCAATTTAATGCATACTTGCTGAATAAATGTATTAATATTTTATTGACTCCAACCTTTTGAATGTCCTATTGTTTGTTCATAAAACATTAGCTGATGCTTATTTATTCCACTTGAAATATAGAAAATGAACTAGAATAAATAGAAATTAACATCAACCTAGATTAATAAATTCTGTTCATTGTTAGTTCATGATACCTAGTACATTAACTAATACTGTTAACAAATTGATCCTACTGTAAAATGTTGCCAAATCATTTTTCTTACCTCCATCTCTGCTTCGCATCCCATCTCTCTCTTTTTTCTTATATCATCACATTGCTACACGCATTCGTCTCCCTATGTACCAGGGCATGTGACTGCGCTTGTCTTACAGCATTCACCACACACAGTGTGGCCACAGTGATAACTAGCGGTCAAAACTACGCCTTAAAAGTGCTCTGCATCCTTTCTATTTCTCATTTTCTTTTTAAATAAGCCATAACTAGACTCAACAAGAAGTCTTCGAAAGCATCTGCTTCCCCAAAGACACCTGAACATCAAAAACGAACAACTTTATTAAAAGCTGATCTTCAAAACCTTCCCCCATCAAAGGGAAAAAAAAGGGAAAAAAGCGTTATTGCTCCACATTATCATGGTGTTTTTTTCACCCTAATTCTATAATATCCATATACCTGACATGAACGTTTCCTACTCTTAGGAGCTAGGAGGCGATTAACTGCTTGTAAATAAAACAAACAAGACAACGGAAGTGTACGAACAAAAGATAAATCCTGTCCATCTAAGCAACCACGAGCTGACCTGCAGCAGAGCCCTGCTCACCTCCAGACTGCAGACCAGCACACAACAGCGATACCACAAGATTTTCAGGATGTGATGTCAATTTTACTGGAGGTGAGGGCGGGGTTAGAGAGAGCGTTGTAGAGGGCAAGGATCTGCGACGAGTCCCTGCATACCCCATGAGCTTCTCAAGCACTGATTCCTGGGGTCCATAATTTGAGGAGGGCCGTTATTCTACCGGGACCATGCGGAGAACTGGAGGGGACCACAAAAATCCCCCAGACATCCTGGTCCCTTGTTCTGTCAGTAGTTAATTGTCTCACTACAGTTCAACTATCCCGCGGTGATGGGTGTGTTAATAAGACAAACATGCGTTCAGACACGCTAAGAGTTATAGTGGCCTTGGCCTGCTGTTACATAATATAATTTACTTTTTTCATTACTGTTATTCATTATTTTCTACAATGACTTTAAACATTTAATTTTTAATCCTCTTTTTCATAGCTCATTTTCTAAAGAGTCATTGTGAAATTTTTTTCTGTGTTACTTCGCTTGTATTCTCCCATCTCTCCAGGAGGCATCACAAAATCCGGGGTGCAGAGCGATCATTGGAGATGGTTTTGCGCAGTCGCACCCCTCGACGAATAGACCTCAGCATGTCCTCACCCTCCTGGGGCACTTCAGGATCGGGTTGGGACTCGGGGCCTGGTGGGGGCTGGTTTGGAAGCGAGAGGAAAGGGAACTGGGCCTCACCTAAGGCGTGAGCGCTGGCTACCAGCTCCCCGATCTTCTCCACCAGACTGTGGCGATTGGCAGCCAGCAGGTGATCTTCTTCACCTGGTTGGCCGTAGACGCTCATCTCTAAGCCGCCTACACCCCCTGAGACCCAGGCTGTGTTAGGCAGGCTCAGCCGCTTTGGAGAGGCCTTCACGTACTCCAGCGCTCCCGGGGAGGCATCATCCGGCACATAAAAGACACATTCTTCGCTGCCCACACGGGCGGTAGGGCCTGTATACCCGCCAGGTGAGTCAGGCACAGTGGGGGTCTTGACTGGCACGATGGGTGGGCGTATAGGAATAGGGCCAGCGCTGGAGAGGGTGCGCCTCACCCCAGGCTTCGTAGACGGTGTTCGGCGAATGGTGGCTGTGCCGGAGATACTGCCCCCTCCGCCGGGTGGTCCGCCCAGAGCACCCACTCCACTGGGCAGGCCTGCCGTGCTGGCAGGACGCTTAGTCTGTATCATGCGCCGGTAGTTCTGGGCGATATTACTGTGACGGGGAATTGTGGAGGATTTATCGAATTCAGCCTGACCGTTGGCCTCAGTGTCTCCATTCACTGAGTAACCATCATAATCGGAACCTAACAAAAAAAATCCCACTTGTAACTTGTCAGCTATTATAACTTGTTTTGAATTCAAATAATAATCAGTAATATCTGTTAAGGCCCAATCACACCAAGGCTGATAACTATAATAATAATAATGATACCTACAAAGTTTTCATTCTAAGAGAATAGGGAAGTCCACACCACAGCTATAGCATCACAGTGAAATTACACAGAGGAACAATATTGATAAAACCACTTTCCGAATGAGTTGTTTTTCTAGCTGATGAATGATAAGAACATTGACAGCCAATCAGAATCCACCTGATTTTAAAGAGCTTAAGCATTTAAAGCGGCAGGCGACAACAGCAGCACGTGCTTGTAATAAACAAAGCATATTAATGTGCGTTGGTGCGGACACTAATATGGTTAGCGTTATAGTTATCACTTTTGGTGTGAACAGGCCTTTACTGAGAACATGTGAGTAATTTTGACTGTGTGTTACCCTGTGAGGGGATGGTATCCTCTGAGCAGGATGGGGTGGTTGTCTGAGTGCTGTATCCACTTGAGTACTGAAGGGAGTCTCGGCTGCTCTTCTGCTGCTCCATGCTGAGGCCTCGTGTCAGGACCATAGCTAGATCACTAGCAGCTGGGGAAACCTCCTCACCATGCTGCACCATTACACAATACATACAGACAGTTACATCAAGCACAGACTACACGCATGTAGCTCAATGCGTGTGCATATGTAGACCTAGACTTTGAATCCTAAACTATGAAAATCGAATGAATAAAAATTGACTAAAAGAAAATTATAAACATAAATACTATTCTAATCAATTATGTAAAAATATTATTCCAATGTATTTATTCATGATACATACACTGAACAAAATTATAAACGCAACACTTTTGTTTTTGCCCCCATTTTTCATGAGCTGAACTCAAAAGATCTAAGACTTTTTCTATGTACACAAAAGGCCTATTTCTCTCAAATATTATTTTGTTATTTTGTTATTAATGTATATCCAATGTTGGACACTGTCAACTATATGTGACCCTGGACCACAAAACCAGTCATAAGGGTCAATTTTTCGAAATTGAGATTTATACATCATCTGAAAGCTGAATG